AGTCAATGATATGTGAAATATGAGTTGAGCAATTGAAAAGATTACATGAATTAATACATAAATGTAACATAAAGTGAAATTCATATTTCTTGGAACATAAAATATAGTTTGGGCTTCATGAGAAAACTAATTATTTCAGACACATCACCATTTGTGATGACAGGCCCAAACCAAGACACATCACAAGAAGAAGCAAACCTTGAACACAGTTACTGATCATAGATAGGATGCGAGGGACCCACACTGAGCCCTGGATGTAGAAATAGGCTTTTTCAAATCTAAAACTTCTGAGAGCGGCTACCCAAATTCAGAATGCAACAGTGAAATAGCTCTATACTCCAGGGCACAATCCGTATTCTCTGCAATGTGTACACTTACATGAAACATAAAAGTAGAAATTTATAAATGATAAACAAAGTTGCCAACCTAGACCCCAGCCCAAACTATAAAACTTTAAACATCACGAATCTGAAAATAGACCTAAATGGATAAATTTGGCACATGTATATAAGAATTGACTGCAGAGCTCTTCCAGCGCCCCATTCTCTGAATAGCTTCCTTAGAATAACCTTTTGAAAAAGCTGTAGAGTCAGCCCTTATTCGGAATGAGTGCAGTTTATAAAGAGCGGGGTTCAAATCTAAAAATGAAATCAATTTACGAAGGCAAGAGTTGACAAAGTTATAAGTTACAGGGGCTCCACCATGAAACTGAAAAAAATGGTCCAGATGCATGGGGACAAGCTTGTAGATAAGCCAACATCGCACAGGGTGCGCAAGTAATGGAACTATTCACTGAACACTCACAATTTATGACAATCAAAATAGGACCATCTGTTGTCTTGTGTTTAAAATGATGAAGGGAAATTTGAACTGGAGACAATTTATTACTGTCAACATTAAAATAAACAGAGGATGATTGTATCACATTTAGATATGTTTTGACAGATTTTAACACTTGTTCACCAATCCGAAAAAATCCTACAAATGCCAAAGCAAAAACAGCCTTCAGAACCAAACAATGAAATATTAACGAAACAACCAATGGAATTACTGTAACTAATTTGAATAAAATTATATGAGTGGTAGGTAACCTAGAGTACCATGTAGACGCTTTGCATCAGGAAAACCCTGAGATTCTGAACATAGGAGATAGCTGAGGCATAGGTAACCAAAGAGTTAGGTGAAAATCCAGATTCAAAAAGGAATGCCATATAATTACACATTCAAGAAATTGGGGATTGGAAAACATGGTTCTAAACCTCTAAATCAAAAAATTTTCTCCAAGTCCTCACATAAACTGACCTAGAAGATGGAGCTAAGGTTTCACTAAGAAGAGCAGTTGCACCAGAGCTTAAATCTTTAACAAGGCTGAATCTATCATCTGAGGTGTAGGGTCTAACCATGGTGCCCAAGCTCGAGCCAGCTGAAAATTACATCGAGATAAATGGTCAGCAATCAAATTGGATTTACCTGGTTTATGTTTAGCACGGAGCAATATATCATGTTTGATCGAGGCCATGACCAATCTACGGACTAACTTCATTAGTGAAGAACAGGGTGACGTAGCTTTATTAATAACGTACATAACACATTCGTTATCTGTCAGAAGAAGAACCTTATGGTTTTTAAGGCGATAACCCCAATGTTCAATGGTTAAAACAATTGGGAACAATTCCATGACATTTATAGAAAGAGTTTTCATTTCTTGAGGCCACTCTCCATAAAACCATTTGGATCCTAAGACTGCAGCATAGCCTTTGGTTGTTGCCGCATCTGAGAACATCTTTATAACATCAGATCCTACCCACTTGTCATTCCATTGAAGCCGGTCATAAACTCAGACCAGATCTCAAATCGAGAAGATTTGAATTGGTAATGACGATGGCATCATTTGGATTAGGGACATTCAAGGTGAGATCATAAAGACGCCTGAGAAAAGTTCTGCCAGGGACAACTACTAAAGTTGCAAAATTCAATAGACTATGAAGTGACTGCAATTAACGAAGGGTGATTTTATGTCTTTTGAGTGTTATATAATAATGTTCGAATTTTTGATACTTTCTCTGAGCAAACAGCTGGTCATATTAATAGAATCGATTTCGATACCATATATGGTGATAACATTCACTGGACCTACAGTTTTTGATTTTTTTAATAGGAACACCTAAGTAATCGGATAACTGAAGGAAAGAAAGACTGTAAACATTTGGGCGAATCAGGAGGGCCAGCGAAGAAAAAATCGTCAATCATGTGACTTACAGAAGCTTCAAATTTATATTGCATAATCCAATGCAGAGCCGAACTGAAGTGCTCAAATGTTTGACAGCTCATGCTAAGACCCATAGGGAGGTACATGTCTGCAAAATAATAAACATTGTCATCATAAGAAACAGAAAACCCTAACAGACTATAGTCATCTGAATGGATTGGCAAAAGCCGATATTCATTCTCAATGTCTACCTTAGCCATTAGAGCTCCTTTACCCATTGCCTTAACAATTTTAATAACATCATCCATGCCAGAATTTATGGAATCACCAACAGGGAAGGATAAATCATGAATTATGCGAAAGCTACCTTTCTCTTGTTTGCGAACAATTCCCAGTGGTGAGCAATGGAAGTCAAGGAATGGAGGTTTAAGAAATGGACCCAATATCCGACCAGCAACAAGCTCACTCCGATATTTATCTAGCAAAACCTCAAAAATTCTTTCTTCAAGGTCATAGCCAACTAAAAGGCTGTCCAAATTACTTGGATTTACTGGGGTTGGAAGTTTTTCGGGACATATTGTTCTTTCGAAATGATAACGGGATTGAGCTTGTGGGTCTGATATTGGTGGCGGTTGTGTCATCATTGGGGGTGGTATAGAAGACGCAGAAACTGCAAATGAGTTAACATTTCGAAGTGTAAAATTATTATTAGCACCTATCATTTGAGAAGTTAAAATGGAATTGGTGTTTGGCGGAGATTGAGAATTTGACATACTACTACTTGAACCATCTTGTCTATTACTATAACGTCGGTAATAGTATATGGACTGAACAGTCTAAAGGCTTTTCTTTCACAAAAGTTGTTTACCCCCCTACATGAAATTTTAGGATAAATTTAATGATGCCAAAACACATCAGAACAACTTACTTACCACTTTTCTAAAGCTGTGCGATTGAACGAAAAAATAATTACGGAAAACGGACTCTTTACGTGGCGATGGGATCCAAAACAGACTCTTCACCGAAGCGTAGGGATTCAAAATTTCCTTATAAGGACATGACCTATATATGCGAGCCAATGAATTGTCGCTAAATTGTCGTGTGACTAACACGTGATGAGTTAATAATGTCAACATGGCAAGCGATCAATATTATTGTTTGTGGAAAACTGCTGATATCTCTGAATTTTTCTAATATAACCCATCTCTAAGCTCAAATTGTGTGGTCTAAATTAAAACCGTACGTGAAAAGATGTGAATGGATCACGTTTTACGTTTACAAACGATTAATCACCATAACAGACTGCGAAATACGACAAAAATCACTGAATCAGTGAATGAATTTGGGCACGGTCGTCAGTGTTTATTATGTGATGGCTTCGCCATGTTTTCAGTCACAGACAGTAAGGAGTATATATCAGTCTGTGGTAACTATCACGAACTTGCATTCATTTAGCACAAGCAGAAATAAACTTCAGAACCCATTTATTATTTCAGACATGCTGTTGAGCAACAATCTCTTGGCACTCTTCTTTTCTCATGTCAAGACTTTTTGCTCAAACAACTCTACATTAATTTACCCCATACCCCCTAGCTCTTCCTCTTTAAATGCTCATATCAAAGTTTATCCATGCAAAATATGGCTAGGGATAATTCTTTCAAAAAAGCATTACAAAAAATATATTGTTTAATAACATCCATTGGTGTGAAATAAAAAACAAACAATGTTATGATACATTTAAATAATAAAATGGATGTTCTTTAAATAAATGAAAAAACAAATGTCAAATTCTCAAATGAAAGACATAACAGAATATACACATCATATTATCACAAGAAAACAACATGTTTTAACCAGAAACAGAAAATATATCACGCAATTAACATTATAATTTGAAAAAGAAACATATCAATTAACATACAAAACACAACATTTTAACAATATATTACACAATATTTATAATTCACTATTAAATATTTCTGTAGGGGTACTGACGGTATTAACATATCCTGTGCATCCACATAAGACTGTACAGGAAACATCTGATAATTTACACGAACATCTCTTCGTATCACATTTACCAGAGCAATTGCAATGAACATATTTCAATATAGTGTCTGGTGCTGGATCTAATGTCATCCAAACGATCGAAATTTGGTCATTTGCAATGCTCCAGCCATGGTCCTTTGGTGATGGGCTCGATATATATTGCTGCAGTGAGCGATTATGACCTGGAGTAGTTTCCTCACTAAAATCAATATTGTCCCAAACCAGCAAGGTATTCAATCACTGGCCCTTTATTCAATTGCATTTGGGCTAAAGATGTCATACCGCAGAATAGTCTTATATGACGAACTGTGTCCAAATCCCGTCAGAAGGTCGATAACTTTTTTTGAACCAGTTATGTGACGCAAAGTTAAACCGAGTGACAAGGATTTCAGTGTATGCTTTCGACTGAAGCACAATAATATCCTGAAGAATAGACAGCAGTTTAATATGGGTAACTTCATCAACCTTTACATAATCCTCTAATGTGGGGTCTTCTGATGCATCAATCCACGCTTGGGTATTGTACATGGAAACAGGTATCATTAATTTGAAGGCTTCCAAATTAAAATCACAAGGCAAAGGAGGCCAACTACCTTCATACCCTTTACATAAATACAGTTCCGCTTTTAACTTTAAGGCTGCAGTGTACAGTGAATGTAGCGTATTGTCATCAAACTGTTTATGAATGGGCGTTTCACTTGAGTCTGTGGTTTCCGTGTCAGTACCAGTTGAATAGTTGGTTTCACTTGAAGACTATCTTTTCAACATGTCTTACATCTTCCACGAATACTAGCTCACTTTTGTAGCGTTTAGCAGGTAAATGAAAGACCAATTGTGGATACTTTAACTGAAGCCGATTTTTTAACTTTTGAAACCTAGAATAATAAAAATAAAATATTTTGTATTATACAAGGGAGACAATTTACATACTTGTTACCGAATGGTATCAAATTCCAACGTCTTTTCACTACCGAACGTTAAACGGTTTAAATGATGTTTTGACTATTGAATGTTTACATGCCTTTCTTTTCGGTAGAAAATCCCATTGTGACTTTAAAATGCAACGTTTTATCGCTGTATTTTTTTCCGATTCTGGTCAGAGCGCCCAGCAAAAACTGCATATGTCACACATTAACTGACATCATTATCTGCCATAAAGAGCGTGTCGTTGTTGTTTAAATGTAAAATGACGTAGGACGTAGCTACTCGTGACGTTTTTCGAATTACTGCTCCAATTCTGAATCCATTTTTGATCAAATTTCTATTTTGTTCTTTACTTTTTAGTAATGGCTAAAGGATAGCACTTTAAAAAATTTAAGATTTTGACTTTTGTCGCTGCCTTTTTTTCTTTTAATAATAACGTTTTTTTTTTCAACCTCTACAATTTTATTTCGATCGATCTAAAAATTTACGAGTTGATAAACATTTTGATTGCGAACAAAATTTTGTTCTCAAAATTTCTGTATCACTTCCGGTATTGACGTCATTCTCTCTTAAAGTTGATATTTTTGGACTAAATTTAGGTTGCATTTTTACTATGACTTGACTAATCACTGCTAAATATCGGATGTAAAGAGTCTCGCCGCATTCACAAAGCGAAATTCAATATTAATTGTCGAATGACATTCATCTTAAGCTAAAGATGGTCCGGTGCGGCGATGCGTTCATTTCACCGCAGCGTTTCACCAGATCGAAACAAACAAGGGTATGTAATTGACATGACACATACATGCAGTTGCATTGCGTTGTTATATTTTCCCGCTGCGTTTCACCGGACCAAAAAGTCATTGTGGGGAAACCTTATTTTACATAGTGGAAGCCGTCAACATGCTACGTCCAGCAGCAATAACTCCACGCGCGTGTGTGTCATACCTGCCGCAACGGTACCGCATAATCGCACCGGTTTACCGCAAAGCAGGCATCGCACCCGCATGTTTGTGTCTTCAGCTTTAACGTTAATTGCCGAATTGTCCGGAAATTGCCGAATGGTGATTATGTTGCATTCGATTTTCATTCAATGCTACAGGTGTGATACGCACTGCCTCAGTGCCCGTCTGCACGGCTCTAGTTCTTTTTGTAATTCACTGTTAAGTTTAGTTTCCAGGGCATTTAATTCCTGTTGAAACGTATCTTCATTTTCATCTGGAATGTTATCTATTAATTGTTGAATATCTAATTTTTGTTTTGCAATCTTATCATCTAATTTAGATATTAATGAAATTAAATTTTCTAACTCAGTTTTGTTCACTACGTTGACCGATTGTTTTTTAATAAAACTTATTAAACCTGCTACATCTTGCTGTAGTTTAGTATCATTAATAAAATTTTTATTATTTAGTTGACGTTTGAAGACATTTTTCACATTACTTATTTTATCTTCTAAATGGTTTTTATTTACTTCAATTGAATTTATTTGATCCCGTAAATATTTATTGTGAACAGCGTCATTATCATTTCCCGGAGATTTTAAATTAGTTCCTTTGAAATTGTTCATATCTAAATCACCTTGAAGAGTGCCTCCGATTTGATCCACAAATTTATTTATCCAGGCTGTAGTGTTAGGTTTTTAAGTTTCTAAAAATAAAGGACCTAATCCAAACATGTTCGCCATTTTTATTAAGTTAAATTTATTATAATTTCTTCACTGTTTTCCTAAACTCAACTGATATACTAGAGCTGTGAACAGCACTAAGCGTGGCCCGTGATAGTTTGCCTGATAGCTGTAAGACTTTTTTGAACTTCAAACCCTCTCAAGCCCGGTGTTGACTCGAGCACTTTTAGTAAAGAGCCAAACTAAATGAAATGTTTTGTGAAGGCTAAATTCAATCTTGTATCAATATAACTTATCGTATGGTTATTTTAATAGCTTCATGGTAGCTATAATATACAGGTATGTGTGAAATGTGAACATTATGTAACGGAATTTCTTTACTGATATAAACATGATCTATAAGTGTCCCTCCTTCAGTAGTGTAATGCTGAACAAGTTGTTGAAAACCAAATTTTGGAAAACAATTTAGTATAGACAAATGACCCTCCAAGATATTTTGGTTGAAATTCCCCATAATAACGTAGTCTGAACCAGATTCTTGTAATTCAACTAATAATCTTTCTAACATTGGGAGAAATAAATCTAATCGATAAACGGTGGTCTATAGATAACAATTACGTTAATATTTTTATCCAAAATATTCAAAGCAATGTGTTCTATATTTAAAACTCCCAATTTTAAAATGTTGACATTTTTGTTTTGCTTATAATATACTCCTACTCCTTCGAGCCCCATTTCTTTCAAAAATTTGAAATCTCTAGTGTCATCATAGCTGTTTGCTTTTATTCCCTTTACATCCTACAGTGTAATTTTCAAGATCATCGAAGGTCAAGGTCACATGGTGTGGCCTTTTGAATTTTCAAAAAATTCAAATTCAAAATTCTGTTGCAACAAACTGTAGACAAGGTTACAAGGTTTTAATAGACACCAAAATCATAAAAATCGGATAAAAAATGAAGGACTAATTAATTTTTTGCTAAAATGTGTCAGTCCGAGGCGACGGCTTATGCATCACTTCTGGTTTGGATTTTTTCTGCTAAGTGCATTCTAATTATGACTGACAGACAATATAATATATGGTTTTTGCCAACATTTGAAATTTACACCGGAAGTGGGAGTGCCAGGCGTGATTTAATAAACCGGAAGTTCTCACGCACAAACCGGATGTCATAGAAAAATTTTGATTGTATAAATTTATTTGTATGGACATTCTGTATATGTCCTGTGAATTGTCAGATCAATCGGATAATTAGCGGCTGAGTAAGAAATTTTGAGCTTTTTTGAAAATTTTGGATTCAAATTTTTTTGACAAAAATATTTAAAAATTGAATTTTTTTAGCCTTACCAGATACGTGTTATAACAATGAACATATTAAAGAAAATTTCAGGTGAATCGGTTCATAAATATGCCCTACAGACTTGTTGCAAAATATTTGCACATTATACAACGGCACACTTCCGGTTTAGCAAAAATTTAGTTTTAGATAATCATTTTTGATTCCAGGTCATTTAAAAATGTTTGGTGAAGACAATTATGCTATACCATTTTCGAATTTGTCTAAGGACGTTCCCAAAAAAATAGAAAAAAAAAATAAACATAATGAAAACAATGCGTGACAAATCTAATTGGTTTATTAGTTAATTTCACTATCTCTTCAGTGGATTCTAATCCAAAAGAATAAAAGAAATATAAGTCATTTGAAGAGTCTTTGAACAAAGCAGAATGTTGAACTCCTTTTTGATTGGAAATATGTATATTTGTTATAGCATAAAATTTACCTTTCTTATATTTAAGATCATTTATTTCATCTCTCATACAATAAAAAACGGTGATATATTTAAATCATTCGCCCAAGTTTTTGGTTGTATCAGTTCCATATTTATCGAGAAAGCTATTCATATTGAAAAGTCGGTTTTTTGAAGTCCGTTTTGATAAAATCTATCTATTATTTGTTCTTTGTCTTGATCAATTTAATATAACAGATTGGACGAGACTTCACAGAAGTTGAAGTTCGATCATAATTTTATCAGCCAATCTGTAGTGATGAGGGATTAAGTGAGATAGCATGTGCGCATGACAAGATCAGTTTTTGAATGTCCCATGTGTCAGAACTATCTGTAGTGTTAAGGGTGGGACATTGTTCATCTGCAGTGGAGGGCACTTAATCCCTCATCACTACAGATTGCCTGATAAAATTATGATCGAACTTCAACTTCTGTGAAGTCGCGTCCAATCTGTTATATTTTATCAGCCAATCACGTGATTCGTGATTCCGTGAGACTTCAAAGAGTCTGCACATGAGGACAGTTATACAAAGGAAAACCACTACTATCATAAAACATGGTATTTATTAAACTCTTTAACACTCTAATACTGCATTTTCAAAATTCTTGCTATCATTGATTGGTTTTTTGTAATATGTGGCAAATGTTCGTTCAGACTTCCAATCTGCCTTGGCCATAATATCCGATACTGGCACTGAAGCGTTCTCAGCAGCTGAGGTAGTTGCAGCACGGATACTGTGGGGCTTGAACTTCAGTGTATCTATTCCTGCATTTTTAAGTCCGGTTTTGATCCATCTTGAAATAGTATCACGTGTTGCTGCTTTATGCGGTTGCACGAAAGTAATGAACAACTTGGATGAATCTCTCAGTTTTTCTGTCCTATTAATGTATTCTGAAAGCGCGGTTGTTACACACAGTCTACGATCTGGAGCATAAGCTTTTAATTTCACTGTAATCGGCTTTCTTCCAGGTTTTGACTGTTTCAAGTGATCCGCTATATGAAACTTATACACAGATTTAGAATCATTCACAGACATATAGTCCAAATCTAAACAAAATAAAGTTTGCCCTCTCTGGGCAGAAACAATCGAAATTAGCAATACTAACTTAACTGTTAATTCTCTTAAGGTAAGTGATCGTACTGGCGTTAGCTTACGCAAGTAATTAAGAACAAGTTTGATATCCCACACACTCTCATATCGCGGTGCAAGAGGTTTATTCAGGTAAATACCCTTCATAAATCTAGAAACTATTGTGTGAGATCCAACAGGAACTTTGTTTATAAAAATAAAAGTAGAAAATGAGCACCTGGCTGTATTTATTCCATTATAACCAAGACCCTGGTTATAAAGTTTGAACAAAAATTCTATAACCTC